ATGAGGCTAGAAAAACCATCCAGTAAAAATAAACACTGTTACAAAAACTTCAAGCCACTAGCTTGAAGGTGCCCTATATTCCACTGGGGAACGTGAAGGAAAAAAATAACCGTTTATTACTGAATAATGACTCATTGGATTTTTACTTAACCTTCAATACCTAAGTAACTGGTTTCATTGCCGCTTCACCACATCTCTGGCTACTGATATTAGTAATACAAGCCCTCAAACTATAAGTAAAGTTCAAAGGCAGTTTAAATCAATTATCGTATAAACGATCCGTCCTGCCCTAGTCTTCATGACTATGAAACATAGTCACTAAAGGTGGAAGATTTTTTTTCTTTCCTTTGCGTTCACAGTGAAACATAGATTTAGCCTTGAAGTCTCAGTAGCATTGGTGTTTTTACAGGGTGGGGTTGCTAGCCATACGCGCACAACCTTCCCTCTTTGTCGTCAGTGTAACCGGCTAAGGGAAGTAAAGGTGTTCACCCTTCAGGACTCGAGCCCCGGATCACGTGCATGGTCGACCAGAGCTCTACCGCTGAACCATCGATGTGAAGGTGGAAGATGAACACAGATTAAAGGTTTCTGACTATAGGTACCTGGATTCATTTACTCATGTTCGGTTTAAAGATAATGATAAGTGGTAATGAAATGCTGAATAGGATGCCGCATAACCATAGAAAAGCGATTGATGGTGAAATTATGGAGATTTAACAATTAAATTATATCCGATATATGCTATGCATGAGAAATCACCGCTTTTCTTGACATGAAATATTTACCAGAGTAGAAATTGTTTGAGTGGTCAGATCAAAATATGACCACCAGTACTTTAAGCTGTTAGCTGTTGCGCATCTTGGATTTTCATTACTCTCAAGTCTGTGTGGAGGTCAGTAGCACTCAGCATGAAAAATAATATCCGAATTTTCACCTCCAATGTGAAGTCAGTGCTACTATATGGATTAGAAACTTGGCGCGTCATAAAAAGCACCTCAAACAAACCACAGACCTTCATTAACAGCTGTCTACGCTCAATACTTCTCTAAAAAGATCAGATGGCCAGAAAAGATCAGTAATAGAGATCTCTGGCAATGAGCAGACCAACCAGGAATCGATTGTGTGACAAATAGGCAGGAAGAAATGGAGATGGATTGGCCATACTCTGAGGAAACCATCAAGTGACACCACTAGACAAGCCATTGCTCGAGTGGAACCGGAAAGGGAAACGGCGAGTCGGTCATCAGTTGGAGGGTGACTTGGAGGAGGTCATGCGAAGAGGAAATGAAAGCACGTGGGCAGACTTAGAGCCAGGTGAAAACTTTAGCAGAAAACCGAACGCAATGGAGACGTTTGGCTGAAGCCCTATGTTTCTCTAGGAATTAAAGGAAATAATAATATAATACCTTGGATCTTCAGCAAATTAATAAATCAATTGTTTGGATGATGGGTTGGTGATTTGGGTTAAAATCTTTCACAACTGTGCAGGTGTATTCGCTCTTTCATATTCTAAAAATTCACACTGGTTATTTAATCCACCTGCCTATTTTTCTTTCAAAATGGCATTACGTTTCTATTCTCTTATTTTCTTATATTTATTATAGTGTTCCTTTGAGTTCCGAGTGGAACATAGGACTTCAACAACACATATCCATTTTTTCTTATCTTCTGCCGTCCTCTTTGCCACACGATTGCCCATAACCTCTCATCTCTTCCTCGAAAGATCTCCTCCATGTCACCCTGTCACTGACGACCCACACATTGCTTCCCACTGAGATTCCACTCGAGTGATGGCCTGCATTGTGAACGATGTCATTCAACGGTCTCCTCAATGTATGTCCGATCCATCTCCATTCAACTCCTACATATTTGTTGAGCAATCAGCTCTCACCTTTTGCTTTGTTCCCGCAGTTTCTTGTTACTAATTCTTTTTGGCCGGCTGGCTATTGGATCTCCAATATGGATCCAGGGAAGACAGCTGGTGACAGAAGTCTGCGACAGGCTGTTGGAAATTCTTTTCGTGACACATTGGTTAAGTTTCTAACCCGTATAAAAGAATTGACTCACTTCACATTGGTGTTGAAAATCCGAACCTAGTTCTTTATGTTGGCTGGCTGACTGCAGTGCAGAAGATTTCCAAACTGATCACTTGGCACGTGCTGCTATCATTTAGCTCTTTAATAGAGTTGATAAATCCTTGGAGCACACCTCTGAGTTTTGAACGCAGTTTCCAAATTACTTCTCGGTCAACACTGTCTGTTGAAGGCCTTTTCGAAGTCAATGAAATTGAAGTAGAGGTTTGACTACCATCATATGCTTTGTTCTGTAATGAGGATTCGCAGGGTTTTAATTTGATCAGCACTTGGTTTGCCTTTCTTAAATCCAGCTTGTTCCAGGTGTGGGTCGAGGTTCTATACACAGTGCATCCTTTATTCTCTCCAGAATGACGCGACTTGGTATTTTACTTGGCGTGGGTGGGCAAGAGCATGATTCCGCGCCAGTTCTTGCGGAGTGAGTCCTAGGTTGCTTTTCTTTGGCAACTTAACTAAGTAGCCAGTCTTTCTTCCGATCGGTAGATACCTTTCCTTCCTTCCAAACCTTTTGCAATAACTTATTTTCTTAACCTTTAAAATATATATGTGTGAATTCATCTTATGCACTTTTGTGCAAAGTCGTGTGTTCGTGTATCAGATAGTCAATATTCACTTGTTTTAATCGTGGTTTCTATTCATAATATCCGATAAGTTTAACTTATCAGGCGTTTATTTATTTATTTATTTATTTATATCGATACTTTTTTGTCAATGCCTCATTATCCTTCATTTCTGTACACCGTTTATCTTATATTAACTATCGCATATAATCCTGTTATCATAACATGATTTGAAATGTTTCTTCTTGATAAGATGCGATTGATCTGTAACATAAACTGAAAGGAAAAATACCGCACTGTTTACTTCCTTCTTTAGACCAAATATTCTTCATAAAGCTAGTCACTTACTAAAAGTCACACTTAGACCTGAAAAGCTTTAACATGCACGAACCTCTAAGGGTGGGTTTACAGGAATTTGATTGGTTACGCGTTTTTTTTCTTTCACAAGCTGATATCAGTTAGAGAACCATCAAAAACTCAAGAAGTACAGGACAGCTATTTCGTACTAGCTTCGGACTCTTCATCGGTATGTACCGATTTACGCTAAGATCCAGGAACTTTCTGGTCACATCGTGAGCTCGTAGACCCTTCAACCTCCAGGACCGGATCCAGCGGCTCATGAATTCTAATTTCTGTCATTTCGCAATCAAATATATTTCCACCACCGGCCAGTATCAACGGCGAGTAACTGTTTCTTTTTGGTTTGACTTTATGGAGCCAGCTCGTTACGATATGAAATCGCTGGAACTCCAAAAATAACTTCCGAAATAGAGTCAGTCTCCAGTGAGCATCGGATTATTTTTTTAAAGTACTGGTTTGTAAGGATTCGATTGGTTACTGGTTTAATCACATGCTGACATTCGTCAAAAAGTCACTGGAATCTTTGGTGAATTTTAAAAAAACAATACCACTTTTTTGAAATCACTTTGCAATAACAAAAACTGTGACTACTAATTTGAAGACATTTCATGTATTAGGTACACGATTCGTTACGAATCCACTGTGTAGTGAATAAAAGTCTTATTTGCCTGAAGGAAAAAAATAACCATCACTTGATAGTTTAAAGAAATACCTTTGACTAGGTGATCTGGAGATTTGTCGAAGTTTCTACAAAATACAATAACATTTTACTGTTGAATGTCTAACTTGACAGATTTGAGAGCTGTTAATGATATCAATCAAGGTAGTTTTCGTACTTAATGTTCACCAACTAGGAAAAAAAATTGCTGAATATCAGTTCCATTGTATCTAGATTAGGTTCAACAGTGTGGATAAGTTGTCTTATGACAGAAATAGTCCTAAGCGTCCACCCTTTTAACTTGTATGCTATCAATCAGAACCTTATAACTTATAAATTCTCAACTTGCACCAATTTTCCACATCACGTAAATACCACTCACTGATGTTGTTAACTATCCTTATATCCGAACTGGTGTTGATTCACACAATGACTACTTCTCTTTGGGAATCACAAGAACTGATCCACTAATTGAAGAATGACTTCAAGCTAGACCATGGATTGATATCAGTTACAGAACCAATGAAATCTAGGGATTAATGCGCATTTGTTGCCCGCTAGTTTAGGTTCAACAATGACCCCATTGGCAATCGAACAAAGGACGTTCGGTTTATGAGGTGAGCCTATTAATCATTCAACCAGAGACGAAGAATTCAATTGCAGATGAATTCTTACTTTTGTCAATTCACAATACGTACCGCCATCCTCTGCCATTGTCATTAGTAAGTAGCCGCTCAGATATCCGACTTGACGAGAAATCCCGAGCTGGGACGAAGCAGCTGTCCAGTACTGTTCGTGCGTTTCAGTGGTTCACTAACTAATACCAATCTGTGATGTAAAACCTTTTGCTTTCAGTAACAACAGTCACTGGTTTCATTCATTCACATTTTAAGGTCATTTTACTATCTACTGATGAATTTTCTCGCTAAAGTAGAATAGGAAGTATGACCAGCAGTTGGTTTTTTTTTTCGATTGGTTTTCAATTGAATTTGGTTAATAACGAATACTGCAATAAATATTTAACATTTACGCGTGCAATTAATTGAGTCTTAATAATTTCTTAAACTTTACCTCGTTCTTGTTCTTACTGATAATGTTTGATTTGTTATAAAGATATAAAATAATACCAGGATACATCAATGACTTCTCTGTGTTGTCTTAAGATGATCATTGGTCTGAAAAATGATCCTGCGGCAGAAATTTAACTTCAGAAGTTTTTTTCCATAAGGTGATCAGTGTAGAGATATTATTATCATTATTAACATCATCAAGCTGCCTTCATAATTGTATTTTTGTTTTCTATTTTTTTTTTTATTTCGATACTAATAGGTTGATGCTCAAAAACCTGTGGTAATTCCTGGTGATTTTGAAAGGGAACATATGGTTGAATGCGATCAACTTGGTGGTATTCCATATCCACCAGTATTGATTGAAAGTTTGGTAAGTTTATCATATCTTTGAATAAAATCTGGTAATTGTTATAACTAGATGTGTCTTTGAAGTAATTTGGTGACTGATGGTTGGCTGGTAGTAGAATCAAGGATGCGCATTTCGTCTTTCTTATTTGAGGCTCTGCAGCTGGATGTACCTGCATTCCTTAGTGCGTGAGTGATGGTATTCTCATTGAGACTTGAGTTTAGAAGCCTTCATTTCAAATACCAGAGTGTTATTCACTAGACTACTTGGGCCACCTCTTGTGCATTGGGCATGAGTTATTATTTGTTTTCACTTCACTTTTGATATTCCCAATGATTGACTGGAGCGAGATGTTCGGTCTCAGTTGACATTTCGGTTCATAGTACGGATACTTCAACGATAAACCACTTACCGAATTATTTCAAGTTAATCCTCAGACATTGGTGATGCGTCCTTACAAGGGGCCGAAATGTCAACGGAGGCTGAACATTTCAGTGCGATCAATCAAGCCGAAAGCCGGAATAAAATTGAAAACAAGTTATAGATGGATGTGCCTTTTTTGCAATTTTCAATAATTTAATTGTATGTATCAGATACAAATTCCTCAGTAGGACGCACCCACCGGAGTCGTGACCATTAGGGTACAGCAGGTTGAGAGTGAGGACAATTACTCGTAGATGACATTGCCTGGTGGTCCTGCTATATCTTGAACTGGCAGAATTTGGATATCATGAGCCGTTGAATTGGGTACCAGTGGCTAAATGGTCTATGAGATCCCCTTGTAAACTTCAGGTCCTGGGAACGTACTGCTGAAGAATCCTAAACTGGTTGGACGAAACAATTGTCCTATACTCCTAGGTTTCTAATTGCTTCTCTAACTGATGTCAACCTTGCAACTAATCAAGTCCATTCAAACTGAAACTTGATGTATTCTTAACTTTATTATTCATACAAAAATGTTGCTGACTGACATTTGATGCTTCTTCAATAATAATACCTTATGAAATGAGTCAATGACAAGAGGATATACAAGCCTCAGAAACTACTACATTATCTATGTGATACTTGCTTTGTCACCTCCCATAATAAATTTAGATTACAGAATGATTACCTGTTGTTCTATGAAAATCCATAGGGAAGTCTGCGCTTAAGCTGCTGTCTGGAAAGACAAAGCTCAAAGAACACAACCACACCAATAACATTCACTTGAAGTGCAAAACTTCTCCGTTATATCTTAATGTAATGTAATATGTATCACACGATATCTTAATATGATAAAACAAACCTTAAAAAATGCTAATATTTGTATTCAGAATTCGCTGAAAGCCAATTAAACGATGTCCATTGTCTTTTAGTTTCATAAGTCTGTTGTAAAATTAATTTATAGTATTGTCAGTGTTAAAGGATCATGAAATATGAAAAGTCTTATTCCTTGATGGTTGTTCATTGTAATTTAGTCGATATAATTATGCTATTTTATACATCACATTCAAGCTACACTAAGGTTTTAGCTATGAATCATCTTTTTGGTAGATTAATTCTTCTGATACTTACAACTTAGCTACAAATACAGACGCAGATGCGATTCGAACTCCAGTCAATCAGTGCTACAGTCAGAAATCTTACTGTTGAGCTATTCGAGCTCACGACTGACTATTTGTGGGACTATAAGGAATACATTGATTAGTAGTCACTGGAGTGATTACCAGTGTCATACATCTAGTTGTGCTTATTGGTGCAAACTGAATTCTGCTGTCAATCGAGCCACAAATGTGGCTATCATGCTATGAGGCTCACCACCATGGTCCACTTTTAATTGTTGTTATTAGATAGTAGTAATCAACCGGTAGAAAGCCTTGGACCTACGTTTCGTACTTGTCTGCATATTTGCAATCATTTCCCTTCTGCGATTTGAAACTGGATCACCCAGTGCTGCAGTCAGAGACGTTGCTGCGGAGCCATATGTGTAGGCGACTGACCTCCTGCAGGACTGTAAGGAATACTTTCATTAAACACTAGGCATTTCATGTATCATCTCATAACATGCGTTTCGTTAAAACTGCAGATACGCCATCGTGATGAGTGCCATCAAGCACGAGAATTATGTCCAAGGCTTCCTACCGATTTCCTCAAACCGCCTAACAATTACAGTTCAGAGTTCACCGTCATGGTGAGACATGTAGCATGTATTTTAAATGCATTCGTTTATCAAGTTGAGGTTTACGTACTCACTTATTTTGTAACAGTGTTTCTAAATGAATACTTAAACACCTTAGCTTATAGCCTTCCTTTCAAAATGTATGATGAGAAGTTAGAAATGTAAAAAAAACGTTATATTAACAAGAAATATTTAGATAAAAGGAAATCAGGGTGGATTGAACATACACTGACGAGGAGATTCCGATTGACGTCACATAACTTTACTACTGAGCTATTCGAGGTCACGAGCTTGGTGACCACATTGAAAACTTGACCGGTAGAATTCAGGCTACACCAAGGTAACACTAAGAACCACCAGATACCATGACACTGGTAACGCTCAAGCGACCAATCAATACACCCATTCATTTTTAAATAAAATAAAACAAGAGATATGTTCATCGAAAGAAAATATTTCTTTTCAACAATTCCATTTTTAAACTGTACTATAGTTATTTATATTACTTAAAAAGAGGACGTTAAGTGCCACTACAAAAATGTCTCATTAGATGAAAAAGATTTAATGAAAATAATCAATATGGGATTCTTTTTTTAACGGAAACAAGTGTTGAGGTAGAAGAATAAGATAATTGGAAAAGATCATGAGAGTGTAACAGCAGAAGACAAAAGCCATGCAACAGATCATTTATTTAGGAAATCAACACGTATTTATAGATTTTCATGTACATTATTATGCATTATTGTAAGCAAACAAACACAGTCTTCTGATTGGTTGCTTTCTCGCTGAAAGTTAATCTCTCATTTCTTTGTGGCCGTTTATTGAAGTTCAGATTATCCATCTGCAAACTGTATCCGCCTACGCAAAGTCTGCTGTGATTGGCTGTTGAATCAGTCTTTGTTTTTATTTTTCTCATGACTAATATTGGGGACGTAAACAATGACGTAAATTACTATCTACGGATTTTAGCTAGCAGCTAGCCCTCACCACAATATTACTAGACTCGGACCCAGTGTTCATAGTTTCAAACTCCAAGGCGTTATCCACTAGACCACTTGAGCCACGACAGCCACCTCTTGTGCAATGGGCCATATTTATAGTGGTCTAGTGGATAACGCCTCGGCGTTTGAAACTATGGGCACTGGGATCGAGCCTCGGTGGGAACATCATCACTCGCTGAGAAATGCATGTGCATCCAGATGGCAGACGGGTCTCAAATAGGACGAAATGCGCATCCTGGATTCCACTATTAGTCACCATGGACCAATTAAATACTAATTCAATGCCCAGACATCGTGGAAGCATCTGCACATGAAGCCGACATGTCAACCTGAGACCGAACATTTTGGTTCAATCAATCGACGGGAAAATCTCAAATTCGGTTAACTTTAACTTTGTAGATAAGTTAAAAATAAAGATCACCTGGAGCTGATTGATGTGCTTGAAGAAAGTGCTCACTAAAAGAAGACTTCTCCATCTTGTACTAAACTTTCATCAAATACACTAACCAGGTTTCTGTTCAACAACACTTTTCTGAAGAACTTGAACTGCTAAAAGGAAGCAATATTCCTTCACTGAGTAAATTTTTCCCCCAGCTAATTTCGTGATCCATATTGAAAGAAATCAAATCTCTTTACACTAACCAGCTAGCTGACTACTGACTGATTAAAAAAAGATGAAAATGTCTGGAAATCTCACCAGAGGGGACAAATACTCATTCATGACTCTGGCTAACAGTAGCGGTGTATGCCTCGAACTGACAGAAGTCAGATTTTATAAAGCACATCAGATTCTATCTCACTGGATGGAATAATTAACCAGTTTGCTTTGTAACCAATAAGACCTTAGGTTTGATCGCTTGACGTGGGAGTCATGAATAGTTTCAAACTAGTACGAGACAGTTGTTCAGTACTTCCTAGTTTCCATTAATCCTATAATGTCATGTGTCTGTCTCTGTCTGTCTGGATTCAACATAGAACTTGGCACCGAAGTGCAGCAATTCCAGTTGCCACTTTCCAAATAGCACACAAAGGTAGACAAGAAGATGAGTGAAGAGAATCAATAGAGTTTGACAAGTAAGTATAAGAGTGAAACAGAATGGATAATGGTAGAAAGGAATATGAAAGATTACAGAGGCTGAAGTGGCTTTAAGAGACTATTGGTGGTGGTTTTTTGGCTTCCGTCGTTTTTAGTGGACACAGAGTGAAGAGGGAGTGAGGAGCCATCAAGTAGAGGAGCTGCATCAGTGGGAGGAAGGCAAGGTAATAGAGATGAAGATGAAGACAAAGATAAGTGAGGATTAGAGAGGTTTTGTGTGCATTTCGGATTGTGAGGGCGTTTGTTACTTCCCGGCTGCCCACACCGTGGAAGTTGGTTGCGTGACCACAGAGCCCAGGGGACAACTGCTTGAGGCCGGTCACACGCGGCCTGTTTTTGTTTGTTCTCTTTTGTTTGGTGTGCCTCAGTAGCATACTTATCACTCCTGCCCTGTGACACGGCAGCAGGAAGCGCGGTCGTTGTTAATCCGGGCCACGGCCGATCCGGCATGAAATTTTGTGAATTTGTTCGAATCATGGTATTGGATGGGGTAGCTGCTTTTTGTTTAACCGCTATCCAAACAACCTGCCTGGCATGGTAGAACCTCAAGAGACATAAGTCTCAGTCAGTATAGCTTGATTAGGTCATTGCGGTGTTCAAGCCCGGCCACCACGTCAAGGTAGCAGCTTTCGGTCGGGTTGTGTCTAATTGTGCGTGTTTGTGTAAAGTGAATTCCATCGTCACTCTAGTTTGCAATGTGGCCACCAGGCTACGTGTCTCATCAACACTATGCACTCTGAAGTGTTGTTGTTAAATGGTTGGCGCAAAATCGATGACAAGCCTTGAACCTAGGTTTCGTTTTTGTAGGTACTCATCAAGATGGCTTATCTGCAGTCTTAACGAAACTCATGCCATTAGATGACACATGAGATTAGTTAGTGCTTAGTGTCCAATAAAAAGTATTCCTTAAAGACCCACAGGAGGTCAATTTCGAGCCCATATGGTTCAGCTGCAACGTCTCTGACTGCAGCGCTGGATGACCCGAAGTTCGAATCTCTGAAGGGAAATAATCTAACTTGAAGAAATCTTTGTTTTCTAACAGATTACTTTATCTCATTCCATTTTTTTTTGTTTTCTGTTTTCTCCTTAATTTTTAGGATCGCTTAGCAGATGAGCTGAAAGTTGCAAAAATGAAAATCGTCAAAACTTTATAAATACTGAACTAATTAGAGATGAATCATTATTCAAAGTTTTATTATTATTATTATAATTATTATTATTTTTGATTTTTTCCAATATCAATATTACAATGCATCAATGCTAAGTTTGAAAATATATTTCGTTGATAATATTCACTTGGTTAGAAAAGAAAGTCGGGGTGTTCTACAATCTTGTTCTTCAACTATATTTTGTAATTATTTTTTTGTTTTGTATTACATACAAATGATGAATACTGCTCACCGTCGATGATGATGATGATGATGATGGCGATGGTAAATAGGCAGATAGACAGGTAGATAGATAGATAGTTGACCAGTGAATATTTTCAAATTTTTTGTTTGATTTCGTTTGCTTTTATGTTAAAACTTTTTCCCTTTTTCACTTTCTTTACAATTTTAATCCCATAAAGTTTCGTTTACACTTTTATTTTTGAGAAGAAAGACAAAGCACAACTGTAGAACTAAATTGTAAATTTTGCTTACTTACTCACTATTTGGGTAAATTACTTTTACACTAGAATATGTTTCTGTTTCTCTGTGTGTGAGTGTACATGAACAAAAGAAAAATAGAAAAAGGTTTTATTTCAAATGCCGTTTTGCATGGTTTTTTGACTTTTGTTTCCTTCATGACCGTGTGTATAGCCTCATGTAGGTGTTTATTGCTCTCAGCAAAGATGGAGGGAGGTAATATTTTAAAGACAGAAGACAAGAGTCAGGTAACAGATCGTTTATTGGGGAAATCAAGATATATTTATATATTTTTATGCACTTGATTATTCATTTGTCGACCATACACATGGTCCGGGGTTCGATTCCCCGCCGACTCATTCCTTTACCTCGCTAAGCCAGAAATAATGCTGGTAAGGAGGAAATGTTAGGCATCAGGCTAGCAACCTCATCCAGTAAAAATAAACACTGTTACAAAAACTTCAAGCCACTAGCTTGAAGGTGCCCTATGTTCCACCGGAAACTTGAAGGAAAAAAATTATTCGTTATATTATTAGCAGAGAAACAGCGTCTTCTGATTGGTTGGTTGTTCTCTCGCTGAAAGTTATTCTGTCATTTCTTTGTGGCCGTTTCTCTGAAGGTCAGACCATATATATCTGCTAATCGTATCTGGCCATGCAAAGTCTGTTTTCTTGTTTATTTTTCTGATGACCAAGATTTGGGAAGCAAACATTGACGTAAATTCCTGTCTACCAATTTTGGCTATCAGACAGCCCCCACCACATTGGTACCACTTATTTCTTATTGAGCATATTAAGTTTGTTTAGATGATAGGTTCTGTAGGGATTTAGACTGATTTCAATTTAGATTTTGTCACGAAACAAAATCACTGGATCCCCGCAAAACTTATAATATAGACATCAATTTCCGGCTACTGCAGCCAGTCGGGTCCACCATATTAAGGTGATGACATTGGTTGAGGTTATCGCTATGTCACGAATCCCTTTATGCAAGAATTCAGTTCAACTGGCTGAATAATCCAATCCACCAGCTTGGTCTTGTCACCCAAGTGCTTCAAGTTAAGGTCCTGATGAAGTCGTGGGCGAAGCTCTGCTGAAGAGTCCTAAAGTGGAAAAAGACAGCTGTTCAATACTCCCCTGTTTCCAAACAGTTTCTTACTGACCTTAGCTCACGACGAAATGTACACTGATATTAAATTTTCTCACCATATAAAGATTTACAAATCAGAACAAAAACTATCTTAACTGTTTCCCTTTAAATGACGGAATATACACATTGGAGCATAGGAATTATTAAAACGTTGGTGGCAGCGGAGAAAATTTTCTTTTCGACGAAGTCAGTATCAACTAGGCTGTACATTCGTGTATTTATAACAAATGAGTGAGAAAGTTCCAGAATTACTTCCAGTCAAAGGTTAAATTAATAAAATTACGAAGCGTCATAAACCGAAGTTAGGTAATAGTGCTATTCCAGAAATATTTCAGATCAAAGGTCAAAATACAGATTGTTGACTTTTGTTTACTTCATAACCATGATATACAGCCTCATGTAGCTGTCTCTTCCTCTCGGTAGAGGTGGATGAAGGTAATATTGTAACGACAGAAGACAAGAGTCATGCAGCACATCGTTTATTGAGAAAACCAAGAGATATATTTATATATATTTTTATGCACATCATTATTCGTTATGTTATTAGCAGAAACAGCGTCTTCTGATTGGTTGGTTGTTCTCTCGCTGAAAGTTAATCTGTCATCTCTTTGTGACCGTTTCTTTGAAGGTCAGACCATATATATCTGCTAATCGTATCTGCCCACGCAAAGTCCTTTTTCTTGTTTATTTTTCTGATGACCAAGATTTGGGAAGTAAACATGGACGTAAATTTCTGTCTATCAATTTTGGCTAGCAAACAGCTCTCATCATTAAGAATCATCTGAAACTAGGAGATATAGTGGAGATCTGTTTTACTCCAACTGTGCTAGACTCTTCAGTGCTGCTAATTCTCCAACCCGTCAGTTAATAGATGACAAAGTTTTCATCCTGTAGTCTGTAAGTCTCTTGTCCGATCTGAAGACATCTAAATGGTTGTAGGAGTAATGTTAGGTTTTGTGATGTAATCCAACCTTAAATATATATATATATATACATACATGTTAGATAAAATAAATTCTTGCAATACACAATAACTAGATTGTTAATCATTATCTTTGGTATCAGATCTACTGTTATTAGCTAAAATGGTTCAGTTATTTTAAAGATTTATTGATCTGTGGCTAATAATTGCAGTTGTTAGCCTCAAGCCTAACCTTCTCACTTAACCTGGTTTACTACCAGCTTATTAGGTTTATGAGTGCGTCGAGAGGGATTTGAGCCACATACATGGTCCGTGGTTGATGACCAATCTACCGGTGAACTACCGATGCACTATCAAGTAGCTATTTTGTCCTAGTTTGGGAGTCACTCTTCACAGTACACACCTACCGGGGTTCAAACTCAGAACCTTCCAGTTACAAGCTAAGCTCTCTGACTATTCAGTTACTAGGATCAATATATGTGACAGTATCTAATTGTATGCTGATATGTGCGTTACTAAGGTTTTTAAACACACAGAACTGTGAGTGAACTTTTGTATTCTAGTATTCTTTAATAGCCTAGTGATATATCTTATGATATTATGCCTAATTATACCCTTATTGAGGCTACGTGTCTCGGTAGGGTTGAAAAATGAATAACACAGTGGGATTTCGCACTATCACAGTTCGACTAGCCGTCAGAATTTCTGATTATCCTGATAATGCACAGTTATTATAACAATACGTGCTGTTGTTACCTGCTTCTTACTGAGTGGGGAAATTACGTCTTAATTCAACTAGGTGACAAGTAAAGCTTTTATTCTTTGCTCATAAGATTGTTTTTAGTTGATATAATGATTGTCAATCATTCATTTTTAAACAGAACTTTTACTGTATTAAACAAGGCTGTCTGCATTACATTAACATAGATATTTTAGAAGAACAGTCGCCTGCAGAATATACCTCTTCTTATTTGCGTATACTATGAATTACAAACTCTAACTTGTAATCCTACTTGGTATGTATATATCTAATCAAAAGTACGGCATGTGAATGAATGGCGTACATCTCAGTCATTACTGTTGGGGTGTGTATATCCAGCACAACACTACATTGAATCATAGTTGCTTCAGAATCTTTAAATCGATGAAATAAATAGTTTCACTACACTACACTAGTATGATATACACTACAAGAAATGCTATAAAATTATAGCCTTAATTGAAGATAGAATCTATAAACAATGCAACTATGCAACTGACAGTTTAAAGGATTACAGACTGGCTGATGACGTAATGATTTTCTGCTTTAAAAGTGCAGAGGAAATTACCTTGTGGATGTGATTATCACTTTTAAAAATATTTACACTAAGAGCGAGTAAAAACATAAAGTTAAATAACTGGGCGAAATACCGACTGTACATGTATTATTTGAAACTGAGTAGTCACATTATACTAAATGGGTATTATCAAAGCTAACAAATTGATTGGTTAGGGGGATTTCATCATAAGCTGACCTCAGTTGGAAAACCTACAGGGAGTACTGGATAGCCAGCTGTTTCGCTCTAGTTCGAGATTCTCCGTCAGTGCACAACCATTACGTTTCGAACGCAGAACTTTCTAGTTACAAGGCGAGCTATCTCCTAGACCATTAAGCCACTGAGACCCAATCCAATGACCAACCCATGAATTCTAACTTCTGCCAATTTATGATATAGCGCAACCACTTAGCAATGTCATTAATTTGCAGAAGTAAGAATTCATAGGTTGGTCATTGGATTGGGTCCCAATAGCCTAATGGTCTAGGAGCTGGCTCGCCTTGCAACTCGAAGGTCCTGCTTTCGAACCCTGACGGTGGGTGCATCCTGATGAAGAGTCCCAAGCACTAGGACAAGACAGCTGGCCGTCCAGTACTCCGTGGTGGTTTTCCAATGGTTCTCTAACTGATATCATCTCATGATGAAATCCTCCAACCAATCGAAAAAAATCCCTACAAAACTAATACTTGATAATTACAATCATCAATTACTATTATTGTTAATGCTGATTCAGAATTGTACATAGGCCTTCAGCTGGACACGTTTATTTCATTCTGTTCGATGTCATCCCTTTCATTCGGCTCCATAACTGCCTATAACCTGTTATCTGGATTTTTTCTGCAATGAACCTTTCACTGAGTAATTTAGAAAGACAACGTTTAAGCATATCTGAATGCCTGATCATCTTCGAATTCCAGATTCACGAAAATGCTTCTCGTTCTGAAACTGATTTAGTAACTTGTTTTGAGTGTTTTTTTATCAAAGAATCGGTTTGTGTAACCATTTTCATGAGTGTGTCATTTAAAATACAAAGTCCCCCCCGCGTTAGTTACCTTAGGTTAAAGTTGCCCGCGCAATTGTACCTCCCATCAACCATGGAATAACTTGTAATCGTTTAAAACGCCTGTTATGTAATAACT